TGCTATACAGTATTAAACACTTTTTGGTCTTCACTAAGTGGTCTCACTTAGTGGATATTTTTGATTACGTTATATAAGCTTTGAAAAGTAAACTGTGTTCATTATTAAATATTATTTAAATCTTATTTTGAAAAAGCATAAAATGTCTCAAATGTGAAGATAAAAGCCAAGGAAAATAGAAACAAATGGCAACATTGTGAAATGTAAATATTTTAAAGGTAGCAGAAGTTGTATGAAGAAAAAAAAAAAATGCATTCTTCCTGGGTAGAGACATTTTGGAGGGGGGACACATTGCTTTTGGATATTTCACATATAAAGACCCAAAATTTCTCTTTAACATATTTATTGCCTCGAGATTCACCTAATCATCTAATTGCACATTGACTGTGATGAACACGTCATATTTGCACTTTCAAGAAAAATAAACTTAGCAAGTACTGAGAATGCTTCTTATTACCATTCAGCTTAAGAAATTTACCTTTATTCACCAAAACAAAGAATACAGCGCCATTATCGAATCTTATGAAAATATAAATCTGTGCCTCAGATTTTTTCCAATATCTCCATTCCTAAATGACTTACTCATCTCCCATGACAACAGACATGACTATAAAAATATTAAAAAAATTAAAAGAAAATGTTTAAATTCATAAACTCCTGTTATTTTAAACACATAAATTAATCCCAAAATAAAATAATATACCTCTTAATTACATTATCAAAAAAAAGCAAAAAAAAAAAAAAAAAAATCAACATCATTTACTCACTTTCACTTATTAGACACTAACTTAAAAGCTGCCCTCTGTGCGGGCTTTTAAGCTAGCTCCTGCTGATGGCTAATTGGGTCTCCAGCCTAAACTAAAAGGGACCCCTGGTCCAGCTTATAAAACAGCAATTATAATTTTGACAAAATAACTTTGAATTCCTCAATCCATTCAAGGAATTTTAAAAACCTCACTTTAACTCTGATTCGGGCTATAAGTCCAATTCTGGCCAAATGACCAATTTGGGCTGAAATTCCAATTCAGGCTGAAAATTGAGTTCTTCAAATCACAAACTCTTCAGAACTTCAAAACCTCATGTCACATAACCTCTAACTTTAACTCTGATTCCTTAACTTTTTAAAAAAATAAAATTAATTTCCTCAATTCACAAAGTTTTGAGATATTTTAAACTGAATTTAAAACAAATTTTTTTAAATTCAGTTTTAGTGTTACTTTAAATTCAATATAAATTAAAATTTTTTTTTAAATCACTAATTTTTTTTCAGTCATTTTAAAATTTGAATTTTTAACTGTTCCCTCCTCATCCAGACACGAATGCCAATGTTGGATGTTCACGCACCAGATGAAGGTCAGATTTTCAGTCCTCAGGGTCATCCTGATACCAAAAAAGGTATATGTCTATGTAGAGCAAGGTGTGGCCAGAGTTAGAGGGATTTCGGACACACGGACAGACAGACAGAATTTGATTTTTATTTATATTTAGATTAAATTATGCCACTTAGACATTTCAATTAGCCTTATGAATATTTATGAGTGTTTCTTAAATTAAAATTTTTTTTTTAAAAATAACCTTTTTATTTTTGCTTATAAATACTTATTTCAAAATAAAATCCTTACATTTGCCTTGATAAAAGGACAAAATTCATCAGCTAAGTTTTCCTTTTGTCTTTATTCATAAGTAGGTTTATTTACCATTAGAAATTGCTATATAACAAAAACATACATGGCAAAGTCCAAATATCCAAGGGAGTATTGAATGCATTAATAAATTCAATTTTATTTGCCAAAATAAAACCTAATTATCTAGCAATTTCTAATGGCAACTAACCAAAACAAAGATGGTATTATATGTAAGGGTTCAAATCCCCACGATAGCAGTAAATAGAGTAAACTTTTTGATTAAAGCTATTTAAAAAAAAATATTTTAATATAACCAATAAAATGCAAACAAAAAAGAAAAGTGATGAACAAAGGGTACCAATACGGGCTTTCTTTGCTGACGTTGGTCCATCTGTTTCATGATGCCTTCCAGAGGAATCTCCGACCAGTGCTGGAACGACAGGGATTCGGAAACCATCTTTGTCTCGCACATTTACCTGTTTGTCATCCATCTGTTATAAAAAACAAAAAAAAAAGTGGATGCAAAGAATATCTGCTATCTATAGTACAAGGTAAGAGTTTTTATTCAAAAAATGTTTAATACTCTAGTCAAACAAGCATCCTGGGTATGACGATAAACTATATCTTTGATCAGGAGGTTTTGAGGAGTATGCAACCACCTCTCAATTGCTATTGTTCCTCGGTACACCCTGACCCATGGTGGTAGAACCTGTTAAGGTCCCAGCTATGGGCAAATAGTTAACCCCCAAACTGGGATCAAAACACCATGAAAGTATAACAATACATTTTCATAGTAAAAAATATTACCAACAATACATTTTTGAAAAAGAAATTACTAATGCTCTACAAAATATTAAATGACTCATAAGGAGTTAATATGCTGCTAAACAAATAAACAATAGTACTGATTAACTTTTTCTGTAAGGTCAACATCTAATTCTCTAAATTGATCAATACATTTTCAGAGTAAAATAACATTTTCACAGGAGAAATGACAAACAATACATTGTCAAAAAAATACAAAAACTTTTTTTTAAAAATTGCTACGATTAATTCCATTTCTTGTTTTTACTGGTTTGATTTTATAAAATTATTTGGATTTAAAAAAATGAAGCTAAGTGATTATTTAATCCTGAAATGTCATTCTTTTGAAATATAAAGAATCAATTTTCATATTTAGACTTCGCCATTAAATAATCTATACACATTGATATGCCATTAAAGAAATCAGTTATTTTTCTCTTCTACTTACAGTTCCTAAAAGAAATTAAACAGATTTATTAAAAAAAAAAAAAAAAAAAAAACATAACAGCTGTCTTACTATTTTAGAATTTGACAATTTAAATATAAGATTTTATTTAGGAAAAAAAAAATAAATGTCAACATTAAATGGTCCAACATGTTGATGTACCATTAAAGAAACAAAATCAAACCTAATTTAAGAAAGTATAAAGGAATGTTACCTTTCTCTTGATTGCTACAGACGTCTCTTTCTGTACTGGTAAATTCTCACTGGTAGTGTGCGATCGAACTAAAGTTTTCTTGGAGTTCTTTTCTAACTGGCGTCGCTGATCCTTCTGCATCTGGGCTTTTTCTTCAGCCTGCAAGAAACAGGACAACAACATAGAGACGGTTAAAAAAAGTACATAAATATAAAGAGACTTGATTAACCTGTCCTCCTTAAATGTTACTCTGAGAAAAATTTACCTTTGGGTTAAGAAAAACTAGCTTTAATACTTTTTACAAATGTTCATTTCTACAATTCAAAAATTTGATTGATTTGTTTTCTACAGCTTAACCTCCTTTTGCAGGTTGATTGTTAGATTGTAAGAATTTTTTTTTTTTTTAATAATAGTGATTTAGTAATACAAATTTTACTAATTAACTCATAGCTGAAGGTAGAATAGGTGGAGTCATACCATTCACAAGGGTATTTTACTCATAAGTGAATATAATGGACCCAACTGGAATTGAACCCATATTAGCAATTCTGTGCCACTATCCATTACACATCCAAGTTTATGCTACCTGGTATTCTCAAGTGGTCACTCATCTAGGTACTGACCAGGATCAACATTACTTTGGTAATAAGTGTTTCAGAGAGAGATAGGAAAGAGAGAGAGAGAGAGGAGAGAGAGAGAGAGAGAGAGATAGGAAAGAGAGAGAGAGAGAGAGATAGGAAAGAGAGAGGGAGGGATAAGGGAGAGAGAGGGAGGGATAAGGAGAGAGAGGGAAAGAAAGAGGAGGGGAGGGAAACAGAGAGAAGGAGAGAGGGAGGGAAACAGAGAGAAGGAGAGAGGGGGAGGGGAAACAGAGATAAGGAGAGAGGGGGAGGGGAAACAGAGATAAGGAGAGAGGGGGGGAAAAAGAGATAAGGAGAGAGGGGAGGGAAAGAGATTGGAGAGAGGGGAGGGAAACAGAGATAAGGAGAGAGGGGAGGGGAACTAGAGATAAGGGAGAGAGGGGAGGGGAAACAGAGATAAGGAGAGAGAGGGGAGGGGAAACAGAGATAAGGGAGAGGGGGGAGGGAAACAGAGACAGGAGAGAGGGGAGGGGAAACAGAGATAAGGAGAGAGGGGGGGAAAGAGAGGGGAGGGAAACAGAGATAAGGAGAGAGAGGGAGGGGGAAAGAGAGGGAGGGAAACAGAGATAAGGAGAGAGAGGGAGGGAAAGAGAGGGAGGAAAACAGAGATAAGGGAGAGAGGGAGACAAAAAGAGGGGAGGGAAAGAGAGATAAGAGAGAGAGGGAGAGAAAACAGAGATTAAGGAGAGAGAGAGGAGGGAAGAGAGAGGGAGAGAGGGGGAGGGAAAGAGAGAGGGGAGGGAACAGAGAGAAGGGAGAGAAAGGGAGGGAAAGAGGGAGGGAAAGAGAGATAAAGAGAGAGGAGGGAGGGAAAGAGAGATAAGGAGAGAGAGGGAGAGAAACAGAGATTAAGAGAGAGAGGGGAGGAAACAGAGAGAAGGAGAGAGAGGAGGGAAACAGAGAGAAGGAGAGAGAGGGAGGGAAACAGAGAGAAGGAGAGAGAGGGAGGGAAACAGAGAGAAGGAGAGAGAGGGAGGGAAACAGAGAGAAGAGGAGAGAGGGAGGGAACAGAGAGAGGGAGGGAAACAGAGAGAGGGAGGGGAACAGAGAGAGGGAGGGAAACAGAGAGAGGGAGGGAAACAGAGAGAAGGAGAGAGAGGGAGGGAAACAGAAAGACAATTGTTATCAGACAAATAAGTTTCCAATTATCTCAATCTATATGTGCTTCTTGTTATAATGAAACCTACCATGGAGACATACTGTGATTGTCTTGCCATTAATAGAGAAAGGAGACTGAATGCAACTGAAATTTGTCAAGGTAGATGCCTGCACATACATAAAAATGAAGTTCCTCAAAGAAACGGTCTTCTTACCAGAGCCTTTCTTTGTTGAAGCCTTTGCAACTGAGCCGTACATTTATTTAAAGCCATCTCATAATCTTCCAGTGTACCTGAACATCAAATGAAGAGAAGATGAAAGAAAAATACAAACCAAAATCTAGAGAAACATTAACACATTATACAGAGACAAAAAGGATGGGGATAACAATTTCCATCAATTACAAAAACTAAATTTAGCAGATGATGATAGAGCAGTAATATAAAAAAATAAAAAAGTTACAGGAAATGAAATCTGAAACAAATGAAGCCCCAAAATGGACAAAATTTATTTGACAGGTAAATAAACTGAATCAGATGTTTTCTCTCTGGATTTCTGTGATGATCAGTTATTATTTACATTTGGCCTATTGGTCTCATCTTTGTTGTGAGTTCAATCCCTGGGCCAGGTGGATTGTACTTAGACTCAGTGGAAATGAGTGAGCAATAACTGAGCAGTATTATAAGAACTGGATGATATATCCCTAGATGTCTACCCCCCGTAGGGGGGGGGGGGGGTCAGTGGTAATTACCACTATGTGAACAAAAGCTATGAAAGGCCTGGAGTACATCTACCAAAGTAAGAGATGGTGAAATATCACCCCAGTGGGGGGAAAGAAAATATGAATTCAATAGACTAGGTTCTGGAGTGTCACCAGGCATTGATCAGTGGGGGTCAAGAATTGTCTGCTCACCTTCTTCACGTTCAAACCTGAGATATGCATCAACAATCATTTGTGGCCAGTCTGTGACTGAATTAAGTGCTCGTTGCAAAACTTTTCGACAATTCTTGATATTGCCATAAGCCCTGAAAAGAAAACATTAATATCATTAACCCTAAGTAATACTATTTTTAAATGTTTATTTTTATATAAGTAAAACATCACCCAACCCAAAATTTATTTGATATTTTATTTCAGTGTATTCCTATCCTACTTATTTCTAGTCATAACATTTTCTATTAAAGTTTAGTTTTAGTTTAGTTTTTCCTTCCACATATGCTGTTAGGTGTCATGGGGAGACACAATCATCTGTCAGCAGCAAGGCGAGTAGCCTGAAGGAGAGATATCTCATGGGCTCTGACAGTGAGTCACTCCAGCATCTTCTTGGTCTGTCTCTTGCTCTCCAGCCAGAGTACTTGAGGGTGTATGCTTATAGAGCTGGTTCGTTGATAGGCATATGAGTTAGGTGTCCAAACCACTTGATCCTTGAAATATTTTTTTTTTAAAGACTTACAATAGAAAATGACAAGATCATTTTCTATTATAAGTCTTAAAAAAATATTTTTATACAATTATCAATTTAATTTAAGTTGCATATTTGCTTAAAATTGCAAGGGATTCTTTTTTTTTAAATATAGATTTATAACTAAAAAAAATGAAATGACATTAACCTTGATTATCAACCACTACAGAAATCAATGAGAAAATTGAAAATTTTGTAATCCTTGAGTAATTAAAAGCTTACTTTTCCATTTGAAAATACTCCATCCACATATGTCCCTCTGCACCGTGTCCCTGCGTCATAACACTGTTCCACAATTCCCGAGCCTTTTCAATATTTTTGCAATGCTTCACCTGAAACACATTCAAAAGATGATCAGCAAAAAAATTTACACTAAGGATGAAAAGAACAAAAGCAAAAGTCACTCCAACATTAATCATGCCAAGAGAAGTTTCTGCTTATTTTTACACAAATATTAAATATTGTGACAATGTTAAATGGACCAAGGAACGCTGTAGCAATCTCTTCTGAGACTAAGGTTCCAGATTCTTAGTCTGCTAATCTCTTAGCAACATTCCTTTGTCAAGGTCTACATACAGACTCTCTTCAAAAAATATCAATTTTAATTATTTGGCATTAATTATTTTTCCAATTTGATTTTACAAGACAGATTATTTCCAATTCCTAAACAATATTCTGTGACAAGAATTCCTTGACCAAATCTTGTACAACAATTGCTTCTGACACCCAACATCAACTGTCACAGCATTTTTATTATCCTGACTGAATAATTTTCAAGCATATACAGTTACTTCAAAAATATTATCTCCTATTATGCTATCCCCATGACTTCTGAGGTGGATGTTGGCAGCGGTAGAGGTCATGTCTTTCCACCAATAACCTATATTTTTTGTCTTGCTACAGACAGCGATCTGAAATGAAATTACAGATGAAGTAGAAATATGAAAAATTTGGAAAATAACTGCTCACACTGACATTTACCGATGCTTGCTAAAATTTTATGATGGATATGAGTAGAGCAAGGCATTTTCAGCAGTGACAATAACAATATGTGTGACGGGCAATAATGTGGGTGGTCCTCTACAGGTGAGGACCTAGAAAATTTAGAATGACTTGAAAATGTATAGTCAGTGGTAGTGAAAAGTGTAAAATGTCTTTCTCTCCACAATGGTGTTTATTGTACTCCCTGTATCTGCTGCAGTTTCTGTGGATAGGTAGTTTTACTTTTGGAGTACAGGATGTGTGCACAGATATATAAGTAAACATCTATTGGTAAACCAGTTGTTTGGTTATATTATTCTTTTTAATTTAAAAAAAAAAAAAAATTTTTTTACACCCTATCCCATGTTTGTTCTTGGTCGTACATAGACATGTTGAATTGATGTGGTGTATGAGATTATCACTCCACATTGTCTTCAGTTGGCCTCATATATTCTGACCTTGTCTCTTTAGGCCTATTCAGTGACACTGATGGTTGACCTGTTTTGGCAATGGGTGAAATATTCTGCCCATCTGTATATCGCATATTGTCTGGACAGAATTATATGGGGGGAAACTCCTGTTGTCTTTATTCAGACATTTTGCCTCATCTCTTCTGGAGTCTAACATCATCTGTTCAGTCTTCCTCTGGGATACACAATGAGGATCTCCGAGTGGCTTTTGTTAATTGCCTAAGTTTTATTTACTTGCAGACCATTGTCCTCATCTTTGTTTTTATTGTTATCACAATGTTTCATCTATTTATTAATCTATGCTTTAATCCACTATACAATAGCCTAGTGGATTAAAAACTCAGATCACAAATTTGGGTCAGGTAGTGCATACTTAGATTTAATAAAAATGGGACACGCAATAACTGAGCAGTACTAAAAAAAAAAACAAGAATTAGACAAGATATCCCTAGACATAGGCAGGGGAATGAGAACAGTCTAGCCCCCATAGATTAAATGAGCTCAGTTCAAAGTTTCGTAAAGGTTATCCGAATTGACAAGCACCTGAGGAAGGCCAAAAAACACAATGGCCAAAATGTTGTGAAGATGAGGACAATAGTCTGCATAGTATAAATAATAAGTCATTCCAGAAATTCAGTCAGAAATTGTCAAATAGGGCAGAGGTCGATTTTGGAATTGTGATATTGCACTCAACTTGAAAGTTAGGGTTTGATATGATAAATAATGGCACAAAATATTTTTTCAAAATCATTACCATTTTTTGAGGAGACTAGTTTGAAGATTAAATTCAGTTTCAAAATCATAGCATTGCAATTTCATTCTTGTGATCAGTGAAAACCTTATAAAATTTATAATTTTAAGCTTTACAAATTTTTACATGTACAAGATACAAGGCACAAGCACATTATTACTAAATCATTGTGCCATCAAATAAGACGTTCATTTACTTCAAAGGGAAATTATACTGAACAATTTTATGATGTAATATCTTATACAGTGCAGTAGTTTTAGTCTGATTTTCAATCAACAATGCAAATTTTAAAACATTTTGTCTTATAATTTGTGCCCAGCAGTATTATGGTGTTATATACACTTTTATCTATTTTTTTTGTTTTTATTAATCATAAGCTATCAAATGATCTCACAAATCTTAATCATTGAGTAGACCTTTTTGTAATTCTCTACAATTTTTTTTTTACAGTTTTTAGTTATCGAATGCAGTAAAAAAAATAAATAAATAATGCATATTTTGCTTGTAGTAATTCATAATCAATTCTGGTTTGATACAAAAATATCCAACTATATTTGAATTTATTCTTGAAATAGTAAAATTTCAAAGTCCATTTTTAAGCAAAAGCCTGCAGAAATTGGGTATTTTTTAAATGATCTTTAAAACTAAAGGCTCAAAAAAATGGTAAAAGTTATGAATCAAATTTTGGTGGTAGTACTTATCACATCAAACCCAGGCTCTTTCAACAAGTGCAATGTCAATTTTATTAAAAAAAAAAAAAAAAAAAAAAAAGAAGAAAAAAAAAATTCAACCTGTCCTATTTTTGAAGCCATTCAGCCAGACACTATCACTGGTAGGATGTTTTTACTGAATGCTTCCATTTTCAGCTTCATTGCTACTTTTCTGATCCACAGGATACTGCTAAGTTTGCTGTATACAATCCAACCTTGTCTGATACACTTCTAACATAATGTTGTAACCTTTCATTATCGGTTCACATATGTAATTGTAAAATTTCCACTTTTGCAATGCAGCTTCCACCAAATCATGATTTTTCAAAACTTTATTAAAAAGCAATGAATTTAAAAAATTAGCATCAAGCTATTAATATAAGTCTTGCATGGTATACACGAGATTTTATGATCAATGTTAAAGTTCACAATACTTATTTAAATTGACTACAAGTTTTGAGATGAGTTAATATTGATAAACTTTCATTTTATAGTAAACTTTCTTATCTATTGATAACAATTATTTATTTAGATATCTATTGAGCATTCTTATTGACAAAATTCTGCTCACCTTGATTAAAATTACATCATTTTATGCACATCAATAGGTGTCGTTATTAGTATTATAACATTCTATAAAGATTGAAATCAAATATGAAATGATATGAGCAGAGCACAAAATTATATGAGCAAGTCAAAAAATACCTCAATAGAAGCCCAATATTGCTGAAGAGTTGATGGATCTCCTCGGTAATCTCCAAAGACTAGAATGGACAAAAATTGTAGAAAGCTTATACAGAAAAATTGGTTTATAAAACAGAAAAATTGATTTATATAATTCACAGGTTAACTTAATGTTGGTTTGAATCCTAATTGTGAATGACTGCAAAATACTACCCCCCCCACCACCACCACCCAATTTATAGGCAGAAACTGGGATTTCTTCCTAGCCAATAAAATAGGCCACTTGTTGGTTTCATCTGACTCAGTCCCAGTCTGTCTTGTTTTGAAGTCAGAACACTACGTTTATTAATCTGGATCGGCTCCTGTGCGTCAACATCAGTTCTTAGTTTCTGAACTTTTTGCCTTATTACTATTGCTTTGTCTTGCATATATTGTTTGCTTGCTTATTATTTTTTGCGGCCCTCTTTTCTTGTTATTGCTTTGTCAATTCTGTTTGTTGGGCGGTTCTGCCATTGGCATTTAACCATGACCACTAACTCTACAGAGCAACTTATGATACTGACAGTTGAAATTTATAAAATCTTCCCCTTAAAACAATAAAACAACTGGTATAGTTCTTTGTTTTTCAGTCTCTCAAAGCCATTTTTAACCACTAATCTTAGAAAGCGATTGTATACATCAGTTTAAATATTTCTGAACAAGTTTTACACCATGCATGACACCAATGTTATTTTTCTTATTGTTTATTATGAAACTTGGTCAATTTTGTTTGTTGGGCAATTCTGCCAATTTACATTAACCAAGGCCACTAACTCTATAGTAGTAATATTGTTGGTTGAAACTTATAAAATCTTTTTCCTAAAACAATTTTGCAGCAAAATAGGTTTCTCAAGTCCACCATATTGTTCTTTTCAGTATTGATGAAGGTTTCTTTCCTAACCTTTTATTTAATTAAAATAGTGTGAAATGCCAAAATCTTGATTATGTCATTATTTTCTCATCGAGTTCCATGTACTGCCTATTTTAGTTATTGCTGCTGTTAAAAGTCCTCAAGTGATGTGATTTCTGTTATTTGGTACAGCTCTTGGTTTGTGATTCTGTGGCACTAGTCCACAAGGTTTGGAGAAGTGTGTTCTTCACCAAGATCCAGAGGTTTCCCTCACTCAAAACTATTTTTATCCAATGATCTTAAAAAACAGTTGTATACAGAAGACAGTTTAGATATTTCTGAACAAATTTGACATCCATATGAAAGTCTCAATCTATTTAAGAATAGGAGTTTTCAGGTTAATGTCTTGTTTTTGTAGTAACTTGCAATATTGTGCAAACTACATTTAATGCAGCCTATTCTATGTTCAGTTTCCTTTTCTCCTTTACTAAATTTCTTATAGCTGATCTGATATACCATGATATCTGAAGGTTTAGTATTTACTAATTCCACATCCTGAATTTTTATGATGGATTCAGAGTTGGTGCCATCACTGCTTTTATTCCAATTGCAGATCATAGTTTCTGTTTTGAAAAGCTTTATCTTGAATCCTATTTCTTAGAACATTTGGGAATTATTAAATTTTTAATTTATTAAATTACAAAATCTATAAATATAAATGTTGAAATCTGTCCCAAATATCTCATTCAGGCTATCAAATAGATTTCATTTGAATAAAAATAATTTTTTAGAAGAATTTTTTGTAGGAAGTTAGAGCAACATTTTAAACTGAAAATATTAAATTAAAAAAATGTCTCTTCTTTTTGATAAAAGTAACACAGGGCACAATGTTGAGGGTTAAAAATAAATTTCACTGTTTCGGAGAAAATTTCACATCTATTTTGCAGGTTCTTTGAGATATAACTACAAAATCAAAAAGAGAATTTACAAATTTTTTTTTTTTAAATTTCAATTAAAAACAAGAATTTCACTGCATTACCCAGGAATTTTCAAGACAAAATTTCTCAAGTATGAAATACAAATGAATCATGTTAAAATATTGTAATTAAAACAAGTAATTATAAAAATAATGTAATCCTCTTCTTTTAAACTTACAGATAGCTGAATGCATAATTTGCAAATGTGAAAGGGTAACTCTCTACTTACAAGTCTTTAGGCTGTGAATAGCTCTTTGAATGGTGGCTCTGAAACTGGCAAGTTCTTCTGTGTGTGCTGACAAAGATAATGTGAGAAATGATAATTTGTCTAATAAAAAAAAAGGAGTCATCATTTGTAAGACTTTCTTGCATCAGTTATAAGCAGAAGAATACACAAAAATATCTTAGAATTATAATCCAGCAGCTTCTTGGATTAAATCAAATTTAATAAAAAAAAAAAAAAAAAAAAAAAAAAAAAAATCAAGATTATTTACAAAGCAAATTATAATGAATAGAGACAGGAGTGTTCCTATGAAAGTGAATCTATAGAATTCTTTCATTAGAATTCATTTATTTTTTTTAGTTCTTTACTAAAAGTCTTCAGCTTAACCAAGAAACAAAAAAAGAAAAAAAAAAAAAAAAGGAGGAGGCTTTTGCCTGGATTTTGGGAAGTAAAGCAGGCCAAGAACTTTTCACTGGACCTTGTACATTTATCACCCACCAGCAAGGTGGAAATGCCACTAATATGCAGGAGGTTACAGAGAATGAAAGTTAGAGTAAAGACTGGGTATTTGGGGGGGGGTGATGATTTAGGAAAGATAAAAGTCAAGAAGAGAGAAGATAGTGATTAACATTGCGTTTAAATTTTTGAAGATTGTAGTTGTCAGGGAAACAAGTAAACAGAAGGGAGTTCCACAGGCAGGAAGTGTGAGAAAAGAAACTGTTGAAGTAGAAGTGGTGGTTACATTTAACTATTTCAACAGTAAACGGGTGGGACCTAGATGCCAATCTAGTAGCATGCTTAAATTCATGGAGTCGGAGCATCAGGAGAAAAAAAAAAGCTTGTCAGAGCAGTTGCTATGAAAATGTTTGTAGAAAAGACAGAGAAGTTCTGTCATGTCAGTGAGAAATTGACTGAAGTCAAGATGCCAAGTCAGAATTGATTACATTGCAGATTCTTCTTTGGATTTTATCAAGAACCTCAAGATGAATAGCAGGAGCACCTGACCAGATATAGCAACAGTAGATGCAGCTATTGATTCGAAGTAGTCATTCCACTTCAAGTCAGTTGAAAATGTTAGGCCAAGAAGACACAGTGTATTTCTCTACAAGAGTCTAGCATCAGCCATGTTGATGGCCAGCAGGAAAGTTTCTCTATGATGGTTAAATGAGAGCAGTTTCGTTTTGGAGGCATTAAAATTTACAAGCCATTTCCTGCCCCAGTTAACCACTGATTGGAGGTCCTTTTTAAGAGCAGCAGCAGCCAGGTTAACCTTTACTACACTAATTTCTTTCTAGAATTGTTCCCCCTGCCACTACATTTTTTTTGAGGGTGCAAACACATGAATGCTTAGTGTTTTAAAATTGTTATAACTTTCTTGGTATTGGATGTATAAATTTTAATATTTGTACACTAATAAAAGAATGAATGAGTAATATTTTGATGTAATGCAGTATGTTTTGTATGCATGTTTTATTTTTGAAAACAAAAAAAAATTGAAACGTGAAATAAAAAATGTGAAATAAAAAACAAATACATTAAAAAATACAGAAATAATTCAATGTACTTTAACTTTTATTACTCCTTGTGGAGTTCTGGGGATGCAATAAGAAGCAAAATCATTCAAAAGGTTTTCATTTCACCAAAAAAGTGACATGTTTCCTTGTGTTTACATCTGAGAAGACGACAATAGCATTTGTTTGCTCTTTCTTTCACCTGACTCATATTTATTTGTCTCGTTGACGAATAAAGTTATTATTTCATCGTTTATAAATAGACAAAATAATTCACCTTCAGAAAGGCTATCAGGTATATCGATGGTCACCAGTAGCTTCCATAAAAATACTTGGGCATGGATCATAGTAGCCACTAGTGGTCATTGTTGTTTTCCTCCACATCAATATCCACTCAAGTAAAGCCTTCAAAACCATCATCAGAGTGTCAAGCAAAGAAAAACAACTGAATAAAGGCTTTGTTGGATACTGACTTGGCCATTTTTGTTTACAAAAAAAATTATGAAAAAATTAACATGGGTTTAATCAATGTTACACCACCTGTAGAGTCTAGAAGAATTCAAAATGGCATTGGAAAACGGAAGTTTAGCCTTGTTCCAAAGGCAGTAGTAGGTGATTTCCAGCTTAAAATACTGGAAATAACAGTTGACAAGTGTTTATTTATAGCAACTGTCTCAGGCAACAGAAGTTGCTGATAGTAGTAAGGAAGAGAATTCTATGGCGACTATTGTCACCTGTATTGTGGTAGAGGTTAACTTTGTCAACTCTGATGGATTTGCTATTGAGGCAGGAGTAAATGGTAATGTTATCTGCATAAATGCCTACTTGGGAACTGATGACATCAGGTAGATCATAGATGAAGATCAGAAACAGCATCGGACAGAGGATAAAGCCTTCGGGGACCCCTGCATTCATGTGAAAGGATCTGGAAGCAAGTCCATTCAAAATGACCTTTATTTCACAATTTGATAATCAGAAATACTATCAAGCAAGAAACAGTCATGAGAGGAAGAGGAACAGTAGAGAGTAGATGTTCCATAGTTTGTTTGCTGATATTGGCAGTTGGGAATCAACATTGCTGGCATATCCCCATTTCTGAAGGCTGGCTCTATAGCAACCAACAGCTGTTCAGAGGTGATTTAGGCAGGACCAGAAAGGCCAGGCATCATTAGAGCCTGTGGGGAGGGATTCTGTAGAGCTGAGAAAGAGAGAAAGCTTGTGTTCCACATTGTTAAGGTGTGGCTGCACCACGGGGACAGACACTATGTTGTTCAGTGGTTCAACTGAATTGTAGAAAAGCTGTTGTCTTGACTTGAGCTTCTTTCTCATTGGTTCACAACTACAGAGTGGATGACGAGAATCAATTTCCTGCTTCAACTTCAAGCTGGGAGTGGATTGTCCTTATGTAAGGGGGGAGCAATGCCACTGAGCATAGAAGGCACATTCACATACTGCGGGCCTTGTCAGATGAGTTCTCTCATTTGCCAATCCTTCCTCCACTACACAGCTAGGTTTATAACTAGTGACATTAGTAAACTCACAAAATATTCCCCCTCCTCTGTCAATATTCTTTGATTAACTTTAAGGGAAAAGTTGGGGAGAAAAGCACAAAAGCTGTGTAGGATTGTATGTAATGATAAGGAAAATTTCAAGGTGAAAGAATTTCATATCAAACCATATCTATTTACAGTCAAAATCCATATTTATTGTCAGGAAATTCCTCCAAGGATTACAAATCCAATGGGGTACTAAGGACAATGAAAGATTTGGGGGGCATCTACAATGGTGCGAGGAAAAGTTCATAGATTGACTTGCTTCCCAAAATCTGATCAAATGATTTTTTGAAGAATACTGTTTTTTTTTTTTTGAATCAAGAACTTTTGAGCACCCACCAAACTATAAATATTTTTAAACACACAAAAACAAATATGAAAGTTTTTAACCCTTTAGCATTCAACACACTCAAACCAGTCCTATAAATATTGGCTCTTACTGTTTGCATGACTTTCTGCGTTATTTGCAAAGATATCATATATTAGAGCATAGTACACATGGGGTAGGTTACAGTAGGTTGAACAATGAGCCAATATTTACAGAGTTGGGTGATTGTTAAAGGGTTAATATTCATGAGCACAAATATAATAATATTAAACAAAATGTTGATAATGACTATAATGTTATTTTTGAAATGCTGATAAAACATTAGGATTTTTTGTATAGATGTGTAAGATATACAAAGAAGCTGACATCCCCACCTGTACAAGATTAGCTACTTACGTTCGTCCCAATTGATTCTTCTACGTTTGTAGTCACAAAATACTGTGTAAACATGTAAAAAGTCTGCAGGTTCTGTGAAACCAGAATTAATTGCTCTGTCATAAATCTCTGAAAAACAGATAAAGATAACCATGTGAAATGTGTAAAGAACCATTAGGAAAAAAAAAAAAAATCTAAATGTTTTTGTTCATGATCTCTTAAGATTAATATTTCATTAGGATTGTGGCATTAGCAAAATAGAAGGTAGTGGCCATAGTCTTGTGAAAACCCTTAACGTTTCCATAGCATAGAGAAAACAAATACAGGTTGAGAAATCCCTTACCCAAAATTCTTGGGACTGTAAATGCTTTGGTTTTCAAATTTTGGAAGACAGGCTATTTAACGTGTACATATATAGCATCTATAAAATGTGGCAGCTTAGGAATGGAACCCAAGCATAAACGCGATATCACTTTACATTTCGTAAAACAGCTTATACATATACACTGAAGGTAGTTTTATATAAATAACATATATCCTGAAATTAGTTTTATATAAAGTTTAATAAATTTTGTATATATATAGATTCAGGTAATGACACTAGTCACATAGATTTTTAAGTGGTAAAATTAAGATTTCACATAAAAATAATGTTTTAAACTTTCTGTATGTATACAAAACAAACAATGTAGGCTACATAACTGGGTTGGTGAACCCTTACTCAGGGCAGATATGAGATCACTTACAATAGCTGTACATAACCTAGGAACGTTCCCAGTGCTTTCTGAAATTTGTGCAAAGTCATGTCAGCACCTGAAAAACTTTCAGATTTTGAAATTTCAAATAACGGATGCTCAACATGTATATCAAAGGTTCTAAATCAATATACAAGGGGTTGGAATCCAGATTAATTTGCACCAAATTTGAAGATTATTTGGAATTTAAAAATAATCTAGATTAGGTATTAAAGATTATTTTAATTCATCTTTCTGAGATAGACAGAAAAATGCATTTTGCCTAATGATTCATAAGTAAATAACAACAAACCAAAAAAAGCTTAAAAATGAAAGTTAACAAAACCTAGAAATTATAGAGGGTATATATAAAGGAGTGCTGAAAGGCTGTGGGTTTGACCAAGAAGAGATTCCTTGTTAGTTGTTTGATAAAATTTTGAAAAGTGTTAGGCCCAAAACTTTTCAGCAGCCCCTCAGATAACATCACTTGGAAGCAACATTTTTGTGCCGTTTAGAAAATATGTTTCCTATTTGACAAAGAGTAACCAAAATTGAGATTTAGAAAATAATTTTATGGTTGAATTTGAAGAATTTACAAATTGAAACATAAAATCCATCAATTAAGCAAGGAAATGAACTGCATTTGGAAACAGGTTTCAAGGTTTCAAATACCTGGAAAAAAATAGTTGTAAGCAGAAAATTAGAAAACGGTACCTGACCAAATACATAAGCAGTGGGTGATTTATTTTTTATTTACCTGTAACTTTGTCATCTGCTTCTTTGTACCTTTCTAAAGCCAGGATATAACGACCCCAAAGCTCAGCCTTCCAAGGGCAATTTCGAACCGAACGTTCATAGGTTGACAACACTACTTTCTTTATAGGAAGTTTAGTGTCCTGCAGAAAGAAATTGGATTCTTCAGATTTTAAATAAATGCATGAAGAGTTTTTTGGGTTTTTTTAAATCATTTCATCTCAATCAAGGTGATAAAGCCACTACAAGGTGTGACTGAGTGGAAAGGAAATTAAAAATCATTACCAAGGAAAAAAAGACAATAAAAGGAACAGGATCCAAGGAGACAGAAAAGGAAGAATCTGGAAGCAAAGAAGTGCAAGAGAAGAAATTACTAGAATAGAACTTATTAATTGAAGACAAGGTAAATCCTAAAAGTGAAATAAACATTAAACCATGTTGCAGATTTTAGGCGGTTCAACAATTATAAACTTAAAACTTAGGTTTAAATTTTTTTAAATTTAAATGGTATAGAAGTAAACACCTGAGTTAAAAAAAAAAAAAAAAAAAGAAATCTAATACCACATAGTGAGCACACTTAATACAGCTGAGCCATTAGAGAATCCCAAATAATCAAATAGCAAATTTGTCATTTATTTTAACACCTTTTTGGGGGATGCCATAATTATCAGATTGTGTGTGTGTGTGTGTGTGTGTGTGTATATATATATATATATGTGTGTGTGTGTGTGCGCATGTATGTATTGGATGCTATGGATAAATTGTTGTCTAAATGGCACAAAAATGAAAATAACACTGATATCTCATTTTAACAGATATATTTACCAGAATTACACAAAAATATCTTTAAATACTAAACACTAAATTTATTTGATAAAATTGCCATTGGCTTCAACCACACCCTCTAAACAACTTCGGAATCTTGTGCAATTCTTCTGAACGGTCACCTTGTTTAAGTTGGTGAATGCTGTCAATCTTTGCCTTCAGTTCATCTTTGGTGCTACAAAGAGTCTCTCTATCAACTGCACCTCACACATAATAATCAAGTGAGTTACAGTCTTGGGAGCTAGGGAAGCCAGATGTAAGGGGTGATGTGGTTGCAGAAACTGACAGACATGACTGGGTTCTCCTGTGTGGCATGGTGCAGAATCCTCTTGCTAGATATAGGATCTTCCAGCAGCCACCCTCTTGAGCTAGGGCAGCACTACCTCCTCAAGGCACTTGATGTAGGCCTCTGTATTGAATCTGAGGCCATGTGGGAAGATGAATGGAGGCATAATGTTGCCATCACCAGTGACCATTCCAAACACCATGATGCTGACTGGATATTTGGTTTTCATAACTCTTGGTACATTTTTTGGTGACACAACAAGCCAATCATCATTCCGTGTGTTCACCTCCTTATAGTGGCAGAAATTTTTCTCGTCTGAGAAAAACCAAAACATGTTTGATTGGAGGGGATGCTTGAGTTTGTTCAAAAGCCTTTGTAGCAGTCTTTCCTCTTGTCTTTTATGACTTGGGATAAAAATTGTCCCTTTCTCATCTTGTATGAGAAATACCAAATGTTTTCATACACTACCTGCCTGATAAGAAATTTAGACACTCCCATATCCCTGGCTATGGACCTAATTGACTTAGAGGGATCACTGTCAATCATGGCCTGGATCTCACCTACAAATTCAGGAGTTCTTTTCTTATCAGAACGATCAGAGCGAGTTTTTTTGAGCTACCATACCTTCATAATTACCATTAGACTCACCCAACTCTTTCTAAATACTCTGAACTGCCCTCAGATTGACACCCAAACACTCCGAAATGTTCATATTGGAGTCTCCGGTACAAAATGGTAAACAGTACAGCACGTCATTTCCAAATTTCTGGTGGAGTGAATTGCGTCATGGTGTTCTTTTTCTCACAGATGGTGTACAAATGACCCTACTATATTGTGTAGTTGACAAAATCAAAAATGAACAACACACATGCACAAAATTAAAAACATAAAATGGCGACAATTTACCCATCGCATTATTTAACACCCACACACACCCACACACACACACACACACACGCACCCCCCCCCGGGGAACATGCATTTATATTACATCATGACAAGTTATTTCAAATGTTTACATTTTGCTTTTTGCTTTCCTAAACATGTAAATAAACATTGAATTACTTCCTTTCTTTGTCAGATTTTTTTTTGTTTTGTTTTGAGATGAAGAATTATCAATGAGGAAAGAAGGAAGGATTACAGGATTTGATACTCATTGGTTGGACATATTGAAGGCAGGAGGAAGAGAAGACAATGGACCACCTACCTGATGAGCTTATGAGAATGGATAGCAAAAGGTAGTGGGGGTAGTGGGAGGAATGGTAAACGGACAAGTGTTTCCTGAGATTTGATTGTTTTTGTTTAGTGGCATATCAACATTTTTATGGGTTATTTAATGGTGAAATCTAAATATTTTGAGCACAATTTTATGGCTTCAAGTAATCTATTTTGAACACCATTGTATGCCTTCAAATATAGATAAAATGTATTGTTGGCAATTTTACTAGGAACATGCATTGTTGGTAAAGAACAATCTATCCCTATGAATTCAATAAAGGGCTTAGTTTAAAATTCCAAGAAGACTACAGAGTACATAGACACCTGAAGAAGGCCAGAGGTTACAAGTGCCAAAACATTGTGAATATAACCATCAAAATGAACATAAACTAAAACAATGTTTTTATTTGTTGATCAAGTATTCAGGCAACGTTCAAGGAAAATACATTAATCCTCTTTGAGGATGACTACTCACCAAGTATCGAGTATATTGAAGCCAAAGTTCAGCATCTAAACATCCAAATGTGATGGCTCGTTCATAGATGCTCCGTATACGAGATGGGTCATCCTGGCTAATTTCATACTCTATATATTTATAGTAAGCTTCCATCTTGGCCATGTATTCATCTGCTGAATCCTGATAGAGGAAGCAAGAAAAAAAAAATAATTTCAAATGTGATACAAAAAAAGATAAGCTGAAGAAAAATTGACTGATACATGGAATGTTACTGCAGCTCTGGCCATGTTCCCTATTTGGTTGAATTTAAAACCAGTTTCTTTTTGTGCATTTATTACAAATTTTTTTAAATTCTAATATTTGGGGAAAAGTGCATCCGATCAAATATAGTAATTGTTGCAAGAATTGTTACCAAGATTTTGGAGAGGAAGTTTAATATTATTGTAACAAGATTTTTTTTTTTTTTTGATTTTACAAGCATGTTTTTTTGGTGGTTGATCATACTTTATTTAAGATAACCTTCAAATACAAATTCATTATACAAAATGAGAAATTTGCTGGATTGAAAGAAGAAAATTCTAATTAATTAAATAAAAGGCAATATAGAAAAAATATTGGTTTTTGTACAAAATGTTACTACAAATCCATCCATGTTCCTTATTTGGTTAAATTCAAAACCTGTTTCTTTTTGTGCATTTATTACAGATTTGTTAAATTCTAAAATTTTTTTTTTTTTTTTTTAGTCGGGAGAGAGGAGTAGGTGGTCTATGTTACCAAATTTAAATGTTTTCTTTTTGTAAATATAATAAATCTACAACTGAAAAGATCTTAAACTACAGCAGTTTGAATAACATTCACAATATTGAAGGTTTACTTATTTTTGTACCAAACTTGGTAGAAACCAATAAATATACTTAGCATTTTCAAGAACATAAGAGCCCTACCCTCAATTCCAGAAGGAAAATGAAAGAAAGAAAATATTGGATTGAATGTTACTGGAATTTTATGTTTGCTATTTGGCCCAGTTCAAAATAAGTTTTTGTGCATATATTTCACATTTATGAAATTCTAATATTCAGAGGTTGGCTGGGGGGGGGGGTATCTTCGTATGCCATCAAATAAATAAAAGTTAATTTCTATTTATAAAAAAACAAAAAATAATGCATAAATTTTTTTAACAAATTACAAACAAACTTATAAGGATATTTGATATGCTGATTACCAAACTCTCGAAATACACCATGTTGCTGTTTCAATGTGTGAACATTTTGAGAGAGAGGAGGGATTTTGAAGTGTTTGGGTGGGGGGCAAAGAAACCAATACCTTACTCCTATGCAAGTTGAATATAGTACCCTCCCCCACCAAAAAAACAAAATGATCTTCAAAATGGAAAGTGTAGCTGAAAGTCCTATGTTAGTGCAACAAAGATAGATGGCCCCTGAGTAAAATATGTACCGGTTGTGCTTATAGTACTAATTTGGTAAATTAGTTATTTCCCATCCATTCCTCAGAGAAATGTACGAATGTGACTTTGGACTAGAATTAATATAAATGGTGATTTATCAGTTTGAGGAGGAGTACAGGTTCATAAAATGACGAAAAGACTAAACATGTTGCAGGTTGAAAAACCAAAAAAGAGATTAAAAAAAAAAAAAAAAAACACAAAGGAAAAATTAGGAAAGTACCAATTCTTTTTCCAGAGGTCGAAGTTTTTCCAATTTGCTCAAAGTCTGTTGATACAATTGCTGAATTGCCTTATCAGATCCTTCATCGGGAAACCAAACTTTAAATTCATTGTACGTTTCTTTCATGTCTAAGTGAAGAAAAAAAAATTTTAGTAATAAAAAGAAAAAAAAAAAAAATGTTTTTGTAGCAGTGTTTCTTTAAGAGAATCAGAAATTTTATAAAAGTAATCAACTCTTATCCAGCAGCAAGGTAAAACCTATATGTATGATATACCATGGATATTTGTATATTTTGTCTGTAACTTTTTTTTTTGTAGTAGTAGAGTTCTCTCCCATGCACTGGAAGTTATTCACAAAACCAGGAACTGAAAAGAAAAATTCTATGAAAGAGTAGAATGCAACAACTAGGTGGGAACATGTACCACACACAGGCACATATTCCTCACCCTCCCAATATAATAAAAATAAATAAATCAATAACTTAAAATATCAATTCCATATATGCCATCATTTTTTACTGCATGGATAAACAAGATGTGATATATAATTGTTATATTAATCTGTGTTCATTACTTATCTCAGCCTATTCATATCTATCTATGGAAGATTATATATGTCTGTGAGTGTGTGGAACCTAGTTTCAGAATTGTAGGAAAATGCTAATAGATTTAAGTACTGTCACTGAAAAGTTATTTTTTGTACACTGACCGGCTCCAAATATTAACCAACCAGCAATGTCATATGAGATGTGTGGTATCCTTTGAAATTGCAAATGATAAAAATTTCTTAGAATTCAATTTTGGTGGCTCACTTCAGAATATGATCAATAATATTTCCCCTCCTTAAAAAGGATATTTAAAAATTGGGAAGATATTTATTAACCAATAAGCTTGAGATTAATAAATTTAATTTTTGGTTTCTCCTGGAGCTGTATTATAAATATGATCAGTTCTTGTTTGCTACTAGTCTTTCAGTGAACCTTTGACAAGGGTGTTTGTTTGATCATTCATCACATTCCCACATTTAATTAATCAGTATATATTACAAAAATATTGTTTAGTGATATTGACAACATAAATGGAATCCAAACTGGCTAAGTTAGTTCATGAGCGTTAACAACTTCCCCTGCCTTATTTCATGTGGCTGACTGCTGTAAATTTATAGACATAGAGAAAACAATGAGAATCTGTGTCACATACACCTGCACACATGTAGATGTATTTTATATTTATCCTATACTTATGCAATTCATTCAGTTGTACTGTTTAAAAAAAAAAAAAAAAAAATACCCAAAAATATTTTGTGTAAAGTTGTTTACAAAGAATCTTAAATTCATTTCTTTCAATTTGAAAGAAAACTAATACTCAAATAAAAAATTATTGAAATCTGTACATGTGTTTGAAGATTGTCTCAATTCTTCACTTTGACATGCATATTCTACATCATACTGATAACAACCTAAAACTAGGTGACCATTGCAAATCAACTAATTAAAATGATCTCAGAAATTTCTATGAAGATGAGAAATACATTAAAAATACTTTTAAGCTTCAATACTCAACATGAAGCAAAAAGACTCATAAAATATTTCAAAATAAAACAGTGGACCATTCTGACAAATGCAATGAATCAAAATATATTATTCTACCTACCAACTCTATCACAACTACAACTGAAAAGAATTTGTCTAAGCTTGACATAAAATATTTTACAACCACTTCTAAAACAATAAAAGACTTAAACACAAAACAAAATAATAAGCTAAAACATGAAAGAGGAGCTTAACCTGTAATAATTGCTACATGGAATACATAGGAGAAACTTCAGGGAATTTAAATAAGAGATTATATGAACACAAAAGGGATCTTTTACAAGACAACACATTAAATGCATTAGTTGCTCACCATGAGTTTGACCATAATTTTGATTTAAAAAATGTTACTTGAATTAATTAAAAGATAAAGCAATTTATTAAGACAAAAGTGTATAGAAAGTGCTTTAATTGCTAGATCACCCACAGTAAATTTACATCCAGTTTCTTTATTAGATTCCACCTTTCTTGGCAGAACTTCTATTATTACAATGTGAGATATGTAATAATTAAATTTAAAGGTTTGAAATGTCAGCATCTATCTCCCTTTGTGTGCATGTGGAGTTACACCAACAAAAACATCATTTTAACACACAGCATAAGCAACAAAAAATGCAACAAATGCTACTTAGTTTTATATCAAAAACTTTAAAAATACAAGGATATTAAGCTTTAAAATTAAATCTTTTGGTGTCCAATGTACCTACACTAAGATAAGGACTATAGTCCATATGTAAATAATGATAACTTCTCATCCCAGAAATTCACAGCAGAAATCAAACAAAATGTTTGAAAATAACCACTACTAGACACCGTCATCTGCATTTCTCCTGGGTTGCACACTCCACACTCTGGTTTATTGATTAATAGGGACACTGTGTCACGTGTGATGAGGTTTCATATGGTTTAGTTTCTAAAAATTATGTTGTATTGAAAATTAGGTTTTATTTTCACCCTTCTTACCAATCATACTGAAAGATTATATACATATCTATATATAAAGAAATATAGTTTTAAGGTGTGCTATATTTATGGGATAAAATGCTCAATATCAGAGATAGAATGTATGTAAATATAAATTTAAAGTGAACATTGAAGTCAACATTGATTGCGTCCAGCATGAAACAGCCTGTTGCCTCTGAGTGTTGACTTCAATGTTCACTATACATTGAGAGAGAGAGAGAGAGAGACCTGAAAGTAGTTAAATAGGAGCATTTAAAAAGAAAAAAAATAATTGTGATACATACTTGGTAACTGCAGACATCAATACACTTTGGCATAATGGTAAAGAGATCTTTAGTGCTAAATCCACCAATAGACACTAGACTCAAGCGAGTACAACATCTAAAGTCAAAGTAAATGATCTTATTTCTGTAAATACTTACCTAACAGAGGCACAGAGAGTTGTCGTTTAAAAAGAGACAAAAGACGTTCCTTCTGTTCAAGGTAAGTAGAGTCTGTACCTTCAGAAGATTCAGGCTGCAAATAATTAAAACCAGAAATTACAACACCTGAGATTCCAAATAAATTCATAGATTTCAAAACATTAAACACCATAAACTTTTAAGAGGTAAGTTTCTATTATCCCTTTGCTACAAAAAGTAAAAAAAAAAAATATAAAGCTGGTCAAACAGATAAATGCTGGAGGATGAAAATTAGTCTATAAGAATAACTTGACCCCCAAATAATTAGGAAATAGCAAATGCTAATCCAAGGTCACCAAGAGTTGCAAAAGTTCAATTTTGGGTCAAAACTGCTATTTCTGGCCAAAATGCAAAAGAGACACACCTTTTACATAACACAAAATAAAAGCCACCAAATTGTAAGAGTGTCTATAAACATTTATTTATAAATAATGTCACCAATGGTATTGTGGTGGCCAAATGGTTAGTAGCATGGAAAATGGAATCAGAAAGATCAGTTCAAACTCTGACTCAGCTAATCTACAGTCACTTTTTACTCATAGCCTTGGGAAAGGCATGTAAAGGAATTAATGATACAATTGGCAATGAAAGAATTCTTAATTAAAAAAAAGTTAACACACTTTACTAATTTGCATAATTATTGTATTTTGAAAAGAATTTTCACGCTGTAAGAGATTTCATTTTAGGTGTCATATTTCCATTTTAGCAAATTTAAAAAATTTAATAACACTATTTACATTGTTCAGACTATTGTCCTTATCTTTATTAACACATACATGATGTTTTGGCCATTGTACACTCCGAAAGGGAAGCTTTTAAGCTAGTTAATAATAAAATAATATTCATTTTAAATTTTAATAAAATAAAATATGATGGAGAAGAATAAAAAAAATATTGCAGAGCAACATCAATCACAGGGATCAACATTGAATAAATCAGCAACTAAAAAGGTTTCTTGATTGAAATTAGTTTTAATAAAATAAAATTTGATGGAGAAGAATAAAAAAATATTGCAGAGCAACATCAATCACAGGGATCAACATTGAATAAATCAGCAACTAAAAGGTTTCTTGATTGAAATTAGTTTTAATAAAATAAAATATGATGGAGAAGAATAAAAAAAATATTGCAGAGCAACATCAATCACAGGGATCAACATTGAATAAATCAGCAACTAAAAAGGTTTCTTGATTGAAATTAGTTTTAATAAAATAAAATATGATGGAGAAGAATAAAAAAAATATTGCAGAGCAACATCAATCACAGGGATCAACATTGAATAAATCAGCAATTTTTTTAAATTTATTAATTACTAACATATTTTGAAATAATTATTTTACTAGTGTATATAAATGTTCCATAAAATTTAGTTGTTAAATACAAGTTTATTTTCATTAAATTAGTTTTACTTCAAAATAAAACATATACATTTACTATTTCTATAATTCTTTTTAAACTTATCTATTAGTAAAAAATAAAATAAGTTTTTTTTTTCCTCAAATGGGGTCCACCAAAGAAAATTAAGAGTAAAAGTGGTCGGAGGGGAGGGTGTGAAAGGGTTGTGAATCACTGTGTTGTATGAACAGTTATAAATAAATTTTAAATGTTGAAAGTGATAAAATCTGTTGGATTAATAAATAAAAATTCCATTGCTTCTCCTGAATAGCACCTTTAAGAATTTCCCATTAAGGCAACTATTCAGCCTTGTTTAATTGGCTAAGTTCTTTATAACTCAGTCAATATAAAACATGTCAGATCTAATGACTGTTCTCTCTACCAAGGGGGAAGAGGGTTTGAATCCTGATAGGGAGAACATATTTTCTTGAATATTCAGGCCAGTAGATGAAAATAAATAAATATACTGTTTAATAAATAAACGGAGCATCTACTCAAATACGTGTATCCACTAAAAATAACGTTTAAAGTGATAAAATAGTTATGAGTATAGTCAAGCATTTGTAAATGAATCAGGTTTCAGTATTAAACAACCTGCAAGGAGTTGATACGCTGTTAAACTAACAGAACTGAGGTACCTAAATAAATATGTCCACACTTTTACAAAGTCAGATGTATCATCACTTCAACAATAAGATTTCTCATTTTAAGCTGGCTATACTACGAACAAAAAAATAAATGTAAACCTATTTTTAATAAGATATCAAATTATATAAAAGTTTTCTTACCTTGAGTCCAGCCAAAATGGCATTCTCAAACTCTCTGTAGGCATCCCAAATGTTGGAACCCTTGGTAACATGCAACCCAACTTCAGATACAGCCCGATCAAATACCGACCTCACCAGATTGATACCATCTGACTCACCCATACCACCAATGGTATACTGAGCATACTCCAGCCAAATATCAACAGCTGAAAGAAAAGTATTGACATTAAAAATTGAATACAACTACAAAATTATGCTGAAAAGTTCTCAGACCAATCAGGTATATTTTTAAAAGACTTTCTTGGTTAGACCAAGAATTTTTCAGTATCTGCTCATATCTGATTGTGAGATTATATATATGTAGTACCCGTTATCAGAAAACTTTCAAAATCCCAAAGTTTTTCATGACATGCCACAAAAAGGAAATTTCAGAAACCACTGGGAAGGTTCTTAGGTGATGTGCAGCTGTTGTAAGTGAGCCTCATCTGCCCTGGGTGCAGGTTCCCCAGCCCAGCTATATAGCCGCCAGTTTTTGTTAGTGATAGTCACAGCAACACCTTTGTTCATGGATTACTTACCAGCATCATTACCTGTATCTGTATGTACACAAAATTTATTAAATTTTATATAAAACTGTCTGAAGAGGGGGGGTGAGGGGAGGGGATATGGAGATGGGTGGGGGATATGGGGAGGGTGAGAGAGAGGGGGAGGGGAGAGAGGGGGAGGGTGAGAGAGAGAGGGGAAGGTGAGAGAAATCTCACATATGAGAGTCTAGCAGATCAGTTCTTAGAACCAGCCAGACTACTCACACATGATTTGATTATAGTGGTTAAGGCTTGTGCCAAACTGACCAGTCTTTTTGGAGAGGCAAATACAGAGAACTAGTGTATAGCATGCCACAAGGTCCCCAAACGACCCTCCTCAGGTTTTGAATTCAGGGTTGTCCTTCTAGACTTGTTGCCACCCAAGTCTACTCTCTTTGTGACCTGTTATTTACTCATAGCTGGGAGTGGGGAGAAGAGATGGATTCACACCTTTTTCCCCAAAAAGTCTATTGGCCCCTAAGTGAATGTATTGAACTTGACTGGAATTCAAGCTCAGCTGTGTCCAGTTCCTCAATCTGAGCCACAATACATTTACTCTGCACCATGCCTCCTCTCTCTCTCTCAAATTGTTAAAGGCTTTTCAAAAAGTTGAAGTACTTTCTCATGCAAAAGCATCAAAATGCATTCAGATTCTATAAAAGATTGAGCTGCTGAATATTATGTAAAAGAAAAAAAAATTAAGTTTGACATTGAGAGGATGGAGCTCCACCTCTGGAAAGTTGGGATGCAGACCCCCACTTCACATTCGTATAGAAGACAATGAACCTGGAATTTACTTTCGTTTTTGTGAGGTTGGCTTTGATCGTTTTTGTTTAAATTTTTGTGGTCATGTTGTCAGGAGTCCAGAAATTGATGTTGCTTTCTTTCAGCAATACATCTAGTCTCACCGAAGCCTAGAAGAGCAATGGTCCCCCAAGTCCATTCGCCTGGTTTTTAACAGGTAGCTTTGTTCTCTTATGCAAATAAGCCTGCTGCATAAAAATGGCAGCATGCGTACGCACGCACGACCGACCATCAGAGAATGGTTGAACACGCGAGGCAGCAAATTCATTTTGCTCCCGGTAAGTCACTGTCACATCTATTACACATGTTTAGAAATCAGTGTGGTTGAGAGAAGATCAGGTAGTGAGACAGTCACACCCACAGAAGTTGCATGCATCAACAACCTGGACTGAATTACCCAGAGGTACAGCCATAACACTACCTTTCATCATGGCATTGGGAGGCCTCTGCCAAGAGTGCTGCACAGCCCAGAACCTATTCACAAAATAGCAGTACAAAAGTTCTGATATTATACAGGTGCTGATAGGATAGTCTCCTTCAAAGTTACCCAAAGGTTTGGATCCCTGACTATCAGGCGGATAACACCACAACCAAGAAAAGGTTTACTTCCAGCACCCTTAAAGGAACAAAGAATCCAGGAAGATACAGGCATGATACCCTGAGTGTACATGTCTTGCCTACCCAGAAATCAAGGCAACAAGTCAGAAATATTGTACCAATCTGAGACCTCAGGTACCAAGACATGCTCAATATCATTTTTCTTTTGCCTTTTACCCCAGTTGTTGCGGTGCCGACATGTTGAGCTGTCCACCATTCTCTCTCCATCTGTCATGGTCATGTGCAATTGTAGTTTATCTTTCAAATCCTTCCACCCTGGCCGGTGACATGCATTGAGGATGTACTTCAACCAGCGGTGCCGCGTTAACAGCCCCCTTCCCTTACGTAACTTTAGCCCACCAGCTGAAATAGTTTACCAGGGCAGGGCAACTTGACGCTATCATGTAAGAGATTTAGGAGATGGTTGTGGACCAGTGATGCCTGCCTACCCAAAGGTGCAGCATGCTAGACATCAAAGGTATTACCGCTATTCAGAGCCCCCATGCCTACACATATTTATTTATTTTTTTTTTTTTTTAACACTGGATGTCAGAGTGAATAGTTAGTCATCAAATTTACCATTTTGAATGCTCTTCTCTTACTTCACAGAACTGGTTTTAATCAGTAGTTTTCTTTCTCCAACCAAAGTAAGAGAGTCCAGTTTACCTTGTTATTTAACCCACAATTGGGTGGGGAGAAATGAATTCCTACCCTTTTCCAAGGCCATTGTTATCAACGTGTGCTAACAATAAAGCATCACAAAGAAAATGTTCAGTAATCTGAACATTTCTTGAACTGATAAAGAACTCTTTCCTTAAATTACAACAGACAATTACTACCAGACTTTATTTACAATAAAAGCACATAAAAAATTCATGCTTGCCAACTTTCCAAGTGTTTGTAAATCAAGACAATCTGAATGTATTCTCTTATAGGAGTTAATCCAATGAAATATATGGGAAGAATTAATTACCTGAAATTGGCAAGGACTGAAAATAAATATATATGGGTTTTAGGGAGTTTAAGTTCAAAAGTTCTGAGGTGATATTCTATGAGTCTATACGATGATTTCTTTTCTTAATCTCCTTGTGAAATTTTTGCATTTCAGTAACTATTTTTTTTATGCAGTGGTATCTTTGAACAGTGACTTCATTTTTCTACGTATTCTTATTCATAATCACAATCTGACCTGCCTGGTCAGAGAGAATGATGTGAAACAAGGGAGATGGGTATTTACATTGTTCAGACTATTGTCCTCATCTTTATTTTCATATTCACAACATTTTGGGTGTTGTATGCTATGGCCTTCTTCAGCTGAAATACATTGGAATTTCGAATCAAACTCTTTATTTGAAATTCTAATGTATATCACTTGAAGAAGACCGGAGCATACAATGGCCAAAACGTCATGAATATGACAACAAAGTGTAAATATTTACAATAGAAATATAGACAGACATTGAAGGGAGATGGGATTGCAATCATGAATATGAAAACACTAGAAAAAATTAATTATCTGCTCAATGAGACAGACATATACAAAAAAATAAATAAGAAATAGTTGTTACTAAAACACAAAAATTTAACACAATCAGGAAACTAATTAAAAATGAAAACAAATCATGTTTTATATATATATATATATATATATATACACCTAGTGGGCCAGACAAACCTACCTAGGTTTCACCTAAACGGATCGTCAGGGAAAGTTTGGCAGAAGTCCATGTTTGTAGCTCTTTCTTTTTTAAAACCTTTTTTTCCCTGAAATTGATTTGATTAGCAAATCGAAAATTGAGGGTTTTTAAAACGAGTCTAGTTATCTATATTTATATATATATATATATATATATATATATATATATATATATATATATATATCCTGAATGGTTTCCAACTGTAGTATGGGAGGGGGGGTCACCCAGAAAATGCAAGAATAAATTTGATAAAACACTTACAAAGATAATCAGCAATGGCCCTTTCAAAAAAGTTTCATTATTTTGGGTCGATCAGATTCTGTTGCCAGGAAATTTCATCTTTCAACCATTCCATCCATAATTCTGAGAGAGAGAAAAAGATAAAAGGCAAATCTTTACTCAGCATTGGTAAAGATAAGGAAAATAGAGAGGACTGTAGATACTTACCAGTATAAGAAGATAATGTTTGAAAAGTATTTTATCAGCTCAGTATCTGACATTGACTTGTTATCAAATAATCTGTCGTTGGATTTATTTATGAATAACAAATGAAGCCTTCAACAGATTTTAATCAAAATAAATAAAAGGCAGCAGGTTTGGAATTCTGAATTGATCCTCAAACTGGATTTGCTGCACTTTATCCAAATAAAGCCAAATAACATATCAGATGAGGCAAGTCAATGTTTTTACAATAAAATTGGTTTTAATCAACTGAAGTTTTCTGGATATGATAAATATACCATGTAAATTTTGGCTGATAATTTTTATTAAAAATAACTTATTTAGTGATGTGAGATTTTATTATTCACCTCAAAGATTGTTCATCATATTGTAAATAAATATACAGAATATTCTTATGGATAATGAATTCTTTAATTTCTTATATAATTTTCATGTTTTATACATGAAAATTACAAAGCATTTTACCCGTTTCAAGTTAGCAGAACTGCCAAAAATATCACTCAATAAATAACTAGGACTGTTGGGTCCAATCTCACTGGGAATGACGATATTCAGTCACCCCCCCCCACGAGGTCGTCATGTGGCACAAGGCCGGTTTAACGTGGGGTCTCCGAGCCCTTGGGATCTCCGAGCCCATGGGCTCGGCCAAAAAGATGCCCATTGAACCCGTATAAACAGGTTCAGGGTCAGTTTACCGCCACGAAAGAGAATCCGCCCTTTGGTGTAGCCTCTTTCGGGTTCCTCCCAGCCCGAAGGCAGAGAGTTCAACCAATCAGTCGGTCATCCGACATCGACTGACTGACACTGGGAATGACTGCAAAACACTTTCCCCTCCCCAATTTATAGGCAGAAGCAACACAAATGCATGCTGGGATTTCTTCCTAGTCAATAAAATAGGTAGGTTCTTGGTTTCATCTGATTCAGTCCTGGTCTGTCTTGAAGTCAGAACACTGCATTCATTCATTCAAACTTTCTCTTGTGTCTCAACACCAATTCTTAGTTTGTGAACTTTTTGCCTTATTATTGTTCATTTGCCTTGTATATATTGTTTGCTTGCTCAATATTATTTTTGGGGCCCTGTCCTTTTCTTTTACTTGCTATTGCAAACTTTGTCAACTTTTTTTTTGGGGGGGGGGGAGCTGTGACTTATTTTACATTTAACTATGGCCACTCACTCTACAAGGGCTATAACATTCAATAAATGAAGAAAAGTTCAATTGAATTATCTGGTTAGCTGACTGTAGTTTTGTATCAAAACGCTCATCAGGGCCTGATGAACATTTCAATACAAAACTCTACAGTCAGCTAACCAGATAATTCAATTGAACTTTTCTTCATTTATTGAATAATTTCATATACATATAAAGATTGCCATGAGTCATAAAAGATATAACCTCAAAAGAGAAAGAAAATATTGTAAAGTTATTGAGTGATAGGAAAAATATGGAAAAGTTGAAAAGAGATCATAAAATACTCAAAAAAGATATTGAAAAAAAAAAACATTGGCAAAAAAGAAATGACTTTAAGAATATAATAGAGATTTGAAAAAAATTAAAACTGTAATAAGCAAGAAAATTGAACTGATGAACAAGAAAATATTTGAAGAAAGTTGGTGTTATAAAAGTAAACAGAGAATGGATATGCAGAATATAAAGAAGATTGGCTACAAACATTAACCAATTTCCCACGTTCAAGTAAATATCATAAAAGGAAACATCTAAGTTGAGCAAAAACTAATTTCTCAAAAGTACTTTTTAGTGATGCACATAGGGCTACATGGAACAAACCTAACGACTGAACTGGAGGAGATTGGCTTCTTCCTGGAAATAGTCAAACTAATGCAACTTGGGTGAAATAATGTTTGGGGTCAGTATAATTATAGAGGAGGTCTCTTCAAAGTCAAAGATATCAAGCAAAGAATTGGGTGCAGTACAGTTGATGACCAAGAAACTTTAGGCAAAACAATTATTCTTCATGCAAGGCAATGCTCCTTCACATTCCAAAAAGTTGACTGTTGCTCACCCTGTCAAAGACATGAAGTTAATGGAATGGCCCCCAGTCTTTCCATCATTAAAAATGATGCATATGAAAATGGAAAATAATATCCAAGCAAAGATTATTTATAGGAAATAATAAAAACTATATTCACAATGTTTTGGCCGTTGTATGCTCATGTGTTTTAGAAATTTCAACCCTTTCTGATGTTAAGTATAAGTGTCCTTTTTGTTACAATTTTCTCTAAAACTTTGTCATTGCCTTCTCCATGTGATATACATTGAAATTTCAAACTGAACCCTTTATTTAGTCCACGGGGGGAAATTGTTTGAATTCCATGTGCCATGTCTTTTCTGGATATCTCAGTTTCAGTTAATTCCCTTTAGTAACTCAACTTTCCAAGTTTTTGTTTACCTCTGCTGTGGCCAGGTATTGAACCCACAACTCTTTCGGTCAATTCAACTAATGCTTTTATCCCCTGAAGTGTAATGTTAAAATTAAAAGCAGGAAAACAATAAACAAATGAAAAACTGATGAATGTTATAAAATATCAAGGAGCCAAGATTAACAAGGGAAATAATAATTTAATCAGATATCTAAGACATTGTGATCACCAAAAAGCTTTTGATGTATTTTATCATTTCGATTTATTTATAAATCAATATTTACATTACTTTGGAAAATAAAACTTGACTCATCCAAACAAGTCATAATTACTGTCTAAATTTCTAGGATAAGGAGTTATCATTATTTGCTTTATTTACATGCGGATTACTGGATTAAAGCATTGGTTTGGGAATTTGGTGATCTAATAATTGTGAGTTTAACCCATGAGTCAGTCAGTGTGTATTTGAACTCAATGGAAACTACGTGAGAAATCTTCTAGTTGCTGTCTCTCTTCTGGATGTTGTGATCATGGCTCTCGACAATTTCCTCTCTTTAGTATCTCTTAGTAAATTTTGTCTTTTTGTTACCTCTCCTAAACTCTGTCATCCATTTGCACAAGCTCATTAAGTAAGGGTTATGCACACTTTTCCTAAAAGGGTTAGGGTTAGGGTTTTCTCTAAAACTTTGTCATTGCTCATATGTTCAGTCCATGGAATTCTCATCATGCTTCTGTAAAAATTACATGTCTCTTGCTTCAAGTCACTTCTTCATCTTTGATGGAATTGTCCCGCATTCACTGCCATATAAGAGGACTGATATTACATAATATGTCATTACTCTTTTTTTATAATAAAATTTTCCTGTAAAATAATAATAGCTAGATGAGATATCCATAAACATGGATTGCTTATATCCATATGTCCCAAAGGTTTTACCTATATTGTTAGGTAGATATCAATTTTATTGTTAAAACATTGCATCAAAAAATCTAATAGTAATAAAAGTCAGAAATTATTTTGTGCTCTTGATTAATTTTTATCAATCTACTGATAGAAATACTGCGATGAAGTCTTTGGTATTATATATATATATATATATATATATATATATAAACCAGATTAACTCTTCAAGTAGCCAATCATAATCAGAATCTCTTGATTGCCATTTTTTTGGTTAAATTAAAAGTTCAAACTATAATAAAGAGGATTTTCTAAAGCTTTCCAAAACATAACGTGGAGGGCATTTGCCAGTCAGCCTTTTGGATTGATAACAAAGTAACAGTTGTAAAATATGTAATTCATTTACTTTATTTTTCTTAATTCAGTTATGATGGACATTTTATTAGGTTCTCTATAAGCAGAAATATCACAAAAGTATTCTCATTTGCTGGTGTCACAAAGTCATTCAGTTTCTGTTAATAGTTAACCTTTTAGTGCCCGGATATAGCTGTGAAATTTGATGAATAATAATATAAAGTGATAATGTTTAAGCATGTACTGTATTTAATTTTTTCTGCATATATTATAAATAAACATCAAGTAATCAAAATTATAAAAAAAAAAGTCATGTCTTAATATATATTCCACTAGTGGAAGTTTGGGCACTAAACAGTTAAAATGAAAACCATCTTAGAAAATTTAATCTTATGAACACATCATCATAATTGTATCTTGCAATGCAAAAAAGAAAAAAAAAATTGAAACTTCTTTTTGAGGTTATCCCATCAAAAGTGACTTCATCTGTTAAATTTACCTCATACATTAACTGACAAACAGATGCAGAAATAGACATTGTATAAACAGATAGAGAGATCTAAAGATTGCCACTATAACCTAACAGATAAGACACTAGTTACTTTAAACTAGTCACTGTGTGACAAACTTTTTAGATGACAGTTGCCATAATCTTATTTGCAGATATTGTATATCAAACAATAATCATATCAAATTAAAACACCATCCCAACTGAAATTGCCTCTGAGAAATAAAAATCATTATATAAAGAGTAAAATAGCAAATAAACCTTACAACATCAGTCTATATTTGAGATAAAGTATTGTTACTATTTACATTGTTCAGACTGCTGTCCTCATCTTTACTGCCATTTTCCCAACATTTCGGCCATAGTACACTCTGGCTTTCTTCAGGTGATATACATAGGAATTTTTAATTTATTTATTTAGTCTACTGAGGAGTAGATGACTCAATATTAAAAATAAAATGGCTCATCATACAGGATGTGGCAGAAATACCTCCCACATAATGGTAAAATATTAGTAGCAATCTAGCTAATGTCTTACCATTATGTGGGAGGTATTTCTGTCACACCCTGTATTTTAGTCATCAAATGCATGTTTATTGAAAAGGAACAAACAAAATCTTTTTCTGCATCTTTGATGCATAGTTAAAGAGAGATATTTATTGGACAAAGTAAGCATTTATAGAGAACACAGGTGAAATTAATCCACATTCTAACCACTTCAATAAATGAAGACAGAAAGAAAAGAAAAGAAAATTGAAATATGGGGTGGGAGGGTGATGTTGATGATTTTGTTTATTATTGAATATAAAGGAGGACGTAAATTAATGTTTTTTACCTTCTGTCAGAGGGAAGATATCATTCATGCGCTCTCGAGCAGTTCGCAATCGGTTCAACTCCCCAGCTTGGCGTAAAAGTTCAATCAATTCCACATGAGGCTGGTAATTGAAGGGATAACTTCGGATCTGATTATTAAAAAAAAAAATTTTTTTAAAACACTGAAGTATAGATACAATGTACAAGGCACAAATTGTAATGTTCCATGATAATCTTGTTTATTAATGACAAAGAATAAATTTGTCTATATTTCAGAGATGAGGTATTGTAATTATTTACATAGTTTGAACTGTTGTCCTCAATCTTTATTGTCATATTCATGATGTCTCAACCATTGTATACTCTGGCCTTCTTCAGGTGATTGGAATTTTGAATTGAACCCTTTACATGGGGCTATAACAATCTACCCCTGGTAGATGAAATAGAAAGTAGCAGTTCTTGGGAAGAATTTTCTCCTTACTAATGGAATATAAAGGGAATGAGACGGATCCCTCCCCCCTGTGTACATGGTAGGATTGGAGGGGGTTTAACTATGAAGGTCTGAATTGGTGGAACTAAGGAATATAGCTCACCAGAACATTTTCTATGAAAATAGAGTAGAAAGAGTTTTGCAACTTTTTGTCTATGGTAAATGGTGGCTGTAGGATGGAAAATAATTCATTACCTATGTAGTTTTATATTTTACAGAAAAAATATTTTCTGCCAAATTTTACATTCTTATGAATGTAAACTATTGTTTGTGTTTTATTCAGATCTTCTTACCTATATGAATGATTTTTTTTTTATTAAAATAGTCAGAATTTACTTAATTAGGAATAATGATAAAGACAAAAACAGTATCTTATCTTTACTCCAACCAACAAACTCAAATTTTTTATATTCATAATAAAAACGGGTACAATTTCTATTTTCTTATATTTTCTAAGGAATATGGAATGTTCAGTAAATATCAAAATATATGTATATAAATAAAATGCAATCACTCCAAGTGGCAACTTTTATTTCAGGTGTTCAATCTTTCCCTCCTTATATATATATATATATATATATATATATATATATATATATTATACATACACACATACATACGTTAATGGCTGGCCACTCATATTCAAAGATACCTGTCTACTAGGGCAGCTAGCTAATCCCTATTGCAGACGCTTGCTCAGACACATTTTGTGTTTGTTCAATACCCACACAACCCACCTGTGGTTTATTCTGCACCAAGCTGAGCAGACCTTAGTTACAGTTTCTGGAAGAGAAGCGTGATCAACAATCTGAACAAACCCAGCACACTCAAACTCTCAGTCATGATGACTTGTGACCATTCTAGCACAACTACCGACAGCTCTGAAGGGTTCTGCCTATCCGATTTCACCCACAAGGCTTGGGTCAACCCGTGGTACGGCTTCCAGACTTTTTCCAAAGAAGTACTGCATGCTGGGATCACCTCCTCCAGACTGATAACATCAAGTTAGCTTCATGACAAATTGACTATGGCAAGATTCAAACCTGAGTCTCATGGTCAAAAGCGAACATTCTAACCACTCGGCCACATTCCTATATATATATATATAAGCAAGTGTAAATGGATATAAATCCAACAGATTTATATATATATATATATATATATATATATATATATATATATATATATATATATATATATATATATATATAAAAACAATTTTTGAAAAATCAAAAAATAAATGTAGTTAAAATGAAAGAAATTTCTTTCATTTTAACTACATTTATGATTTTTTGCTTGTTTTTCAAAATTTCTTCATTCTGTCGGATTTATATCCATTTACACTTGCTTATATATATATATTTTGTTTGAATAAAAAGACAGGCCACATTAAGATTCCATGTAACGTGGTCTGTCTTTTAATCAAACATATCTGCTCTGAATTTTACATTGAGCTCTCTGGATATCATCCTCCTCAGGTCTACCCATACGGATTACCTACGTTTGCATAAACTATATATATATATATATATATATATATATATATATATATATATATATATTCTTAGAATAATTCTGAAGAAAATTTGGATAAAAAAACAAAAAAACAAGAGACAATTGGAAAATATATTTCTTGCTGACACATTTTGTCAATCAGCCATTATCAAGGCAACTTTAAAAACAAAATGTTTTTTTTAGATACATTAAATTCAAAATATTAAAAAGGGAATGAAATTTAACAATATGTCAACATGGAAAACTAAAACAAATTCTTAGTAAAAAAAACAAGACAAAAAACTTACCAATATCCAGAAGGAGGCTTACAAATGATCATTTCCTTTCTAATATTTTGAATTTAATGTAACTAAAAACATTTTGCTTTTAAACTTGCCTTGGTAAAGTCGTATTGATGAAACATGTTGGCAATGATTAAGAAATATATTTTCCAGTTTTCTAATTTTAAGGTATTCTATATTTATAGCTTGAAGTGCTGAATATCATTGATAGAGCATATGCAAATATAAAGTTAGACATTGAAATCAGCACCCAGCAGCTAGTCTGTTTCATGCTTAAATGCAAACCTCAGGCCATGAAGATTGCATTTAAGCATGAAACGGATTGTCACTGCTGGATGCTGACCTCAATATCCACTTATATAAATAAAGACAAAAAGAAAACTTAGCGGATGCATTTCATCCTCTGCAAATGTAAAGATTTTATTTTGCAACAAATATTTATAAACATAGATAAAAATGTTGTTTTAATTTTTTGTAATTTCATATCTAAACAAAAGTGAGTAAATGATGATGTTGAATTTTTTTATATATAATGTAATGACATTAAATTATGTCACTTAGCAGCTTCCATAATTTACCTCGACTTTTCTGCTAGCCTGATGAATATTTATGAGCATTTCTTAAATGTTTTGTAAAAAAAAAAACAAAGAAAACAACACTTTTACTTTCGTTCATAAATACTTGTTGCAAAAATAAAATCCTTACATTTGTGTTTATTCATATTTCCCTTTTATCTTAGGTTAGTTCTTAAATTTGAGATATGCATGTATGTGGTGAAGCATCTTTTAAAACTATATTTTTATCATGTGTGTATGTGTGTGTGCTGCGTTTTTCCTGAAAAGAAACATAATTACTGATTACAGAAAAATTTTATTAAAAGCAAAAATGCAGATCTGGACCCAAATTGACCAAAAATAATGCTAAACTGTTTTTGATTACCATCAGATTGCCAATCTTATGGAAAATTGTTTTATGGCTAATTAAAAGATCAAATATTCACCAGAATAACATTTGGTTTAGGAATAATTTTCCCGTAGAATATTATTTATAAGTGTTTAAAGACAGATGCATACCGGACATTAATAACGACATCTATTACCTTCTTGTCTAATAGTTTGTTTTGGCAATCATTAAGCCACCTTAAGTGAGTGTATCAAGCTGAAGTGTACACAAGTCAGGCTGTTCGATGATAAGGGAAACCACTCCGCCTAACCAAATCCTATCTAGAAAGCTTTTTCTTTCTTTCTTTTTAACAAATTTTCAAGTTGTTTGAACGAATACTTTCAAATTTCATCAATTCAGGAAGTTGTCAGTTAAGGAAAAGATATGTATGTGGGCTAAAAATATACTCGTCCAGGTAGTATGTTGGCGGGGAGTAACATTAAGAAAATACTAAAATGGTGAAGCGGTGGAAAAAATTCACATGTTCAAATTGAATACAAGATTCTGGTAAATGAATAGAACTCCAATATTCTATGCAAGGAACCAATATATTGCTTCGATTGTTTGATTCGATGTCAAGATTTCATGTTTTTTTAAAAAAAAAATAAATAAATGGCAAAAACATCCATCCATTCATTCATTAATTTTTAAATTTTCTCTTGACAGAACGAATAGATGTGAAAGATATTGGTAGGAAAGTTAAACGAATAAAAATAAATTTACAATTTTTAGTCATACTTTTCATAAATACGTTTTCATCTATATTTTTATTTTTTTTACGCAGTTTAAAAAAAAAAAAAAAATAAGTGAAAAAAATATATTTTTATTTTTTGTTTTAAAGTTAAAAAAAATTTCTCTGGTTTCATTCTTTGGATTTATTTTAATTTTTGATTTCAAATTATCCATGTGCTTAAAAAAAAAAAAGAAAAAAAAAAAAGAAAGTAAAAAAAGAAACAAACAAACTTAACCAACAGCATGGTTTGTTTTTCAAAGCAGAAAAAAGGCTTAAATTGCAATTAAAACAATTTTTGAATATTCCTGTTTTTTATGAAGACACGGTCACGTGACCTTTGTGGCTGATGCTGTGTTGACATTTGACAAAAATTCCCACACGACAGTTGTTAAAAGTGACAGGGATTTCACATTTTTACAATATTATCTTTTTTTAACATAAAAAGTGTTTCTTGCTTTAAATATCTAACGGATAGTTTTTTGGGGGTTTTTTTTATGTTTATTATTTTTATTTTCTAAGAGACCAACTGCTACTTAAAAAGAAAATTACGTTTTCGATTTAAGACGTTCGGTTTTGTTTAGTCAAAAATGTATTTGACATCAATATTCAAAAATAAATCTTTTTACAAACTGAAAAATGGGCACTAAGTAACAATGTATAAAAAAAAAATACTGAAGATAAACGTTTATATAGCGTGTATTTTCTCTCCAGTTAAAAACATTTTTTTCAACAATGCAAGATACAGCAGTCTTGGGTTATACCAATTTTGTTTAAGTTTCATTCATAAACAAAACATGTTATTTTTTTTAAGATGGTCGTTCGTTGTTAGAAAGAAAAGAAAAAAAAAAAACAAAACAAAAGACTATCTTATTTTCTACCTTCAACCATTCAAACTGAATTACTTAAACGAGACAGTAGTAGTGTACACACAACACAATTTATTTATTGTGCAACTATAAAAAATAAACAGCCCAAGTGCGGATGCGTATATTTAAAAAAAAAAACCTATTCTTTGAAATATACGAAATAAGTAAGTGAAAATAAAAAAATATATTTTAATCGTGTGTGTGTACCATTTGTTTTTGTTGTGCAATGTAGAAAAAGAAAAACGTATTCACACCTGTTCTTCTAGGCAGCGTATTTTTTCCTTTTCCAACTCATCTTCATCGGAATCGTCTGTACTACTTTCTTCGTCCTCATCAGCATCCATCTCTTCTTCCTCGGTTTCTTCGTTGTCCTCTGGATCCATTGGCACTTTTTCTTCCATTTCCGAAGAAATCTTCTGATCTTCCACACTTGCCTCGTCCGCCATTTTCAAATCAAACCATGCGCGCCTCTTTTGAATGAAGAGCGTCGAAATTAAAGGGAGGTAAACGCAACCTTTTTATTAATTTTTTTTCTTTCATTTCCGAATTAAAGAACATTGATTTGTCGCAAATGACAGAATTTTGTAAAGAATGATTTTTTTCGTCTTATGTATGAAATACTTTTATCACGTCTCACCTTGTATGGAATTTTAAGATGAGGTTATTATTATCATTTAACGGAATATAACGATGATTAACTTAATCTTTGCAGTTTTTTTTACAATATTTAAAAATAAAAATTTTCAATTCTCTAGTTTTCTTCAAGTGAACATGTCCTATTTGTCAAATCTGTCTTCTCCCGTACACTCTTTAGCATCTTCCTGGAACATATAATAACTTATGCCCTGGAAGGACACTCTGATACTATTGACTATAGTAGGATGTACCATCTTCATTTTCCTGATGATATTGATGGACTAACAAGCAGCGAAGAAGAACAAGCAAAACTGATGTACCACCTGGATGAAACCTTGACAACATATAGCATGGATATCGGTGCCATGACAATGAAACAAACAACAATACTGACTGAGATGGTGTGCATTAATAGGTTAAACTACTTCACTGTTTCCAGCTGTTGTTCATTGGTTTTGAGTGGATCCTTGTTGTGTATCATGAGTTTCTCCATTCTATATATTGTCATGGTTTCATCCAAGTGATATATCAGTTCTTCCTCACTTCTTGCTAGCCCATCAATACCATCAGAAAAAAATGAAGATTTGTGATGGTACATCCAACAATGTCAATAGTACTAGAGATTAGTAGTATAATTTTTTAGATAGTAATAAGTAGTAGTAGAGTAGTAGAGTGTCTTTCCAGTGCATAACTCATTATAGATTCCAGGAAGATGCTAAAGAGTGTAAGAAATAGAAGACAGCTTTGACAAATCCTGACTGATATAAAGAATCAATCATTAACAGTTCCTTGATTTTGGTCTGGATTGTTGGTTTTTGCATACAGCTGTTGGGTAGTGTTGGTCAGTTTGTAGGCCATGTTGTACTTCTTTATGCCTTTTTAAAGATGGTAGATATCTTGTTGATGTTGGTTGTATTTCTCACACAGAACATGAAGTTTGAAAATTTGTGTCACTTTCACTGTGAAACCTAGCTTGTTCTTCTACAGTGACTTCTTCTGCCCGTGGCCTGAGTCTGTTCAATATTACATTCAATGTCACTTTTCATTTGTGGATGATTAAACTGATAGTTCTGTAATTCTGGTACAGTTGCTGGTTACCTGTTTTGAGCAGAGTGATTATAAGAGGAGGAGACACGGTGGAGTAATGGATAGCAGCTCGGATTGAGGAATTGGAGAGCCAAGTTCGAATTCCAGTCAAATCCATTACATTCACTTACATGCTAATACCCTTGGGAAAAGTATGAATCCTCTTCTTCTCCTCCCCCCACCAAGCTATGGGTAAATAGCAGAACAGACTGGGTTCTATAGCCTTGGATGGCAACTGGTCTACTGCAGAAAGAAATGGCAACCTACTGCGGGAAAAAATCTGCCTCGTCAGTCATGTATCGAAAGATACATGATCGCCTAAATGTGTATCAAATATGGCACATAACTGATTGATTATAAGAGATTTTGTCTATATTGATAGCCATTTTCTAGTTTGCCAGAAATTTTTTTGTTTTGCAGGATTTTGGTTAGAACATCTTATAGAAACTATTTCACTTGTTGGCTATTGTGACATGTGGGGGCTTCCTTACTTTGCCCGATTCAGCAGCAGCAGTAGCAATGGAGGGTAATCAGCAGGGTACAACAAGAAGTCCCAGAATCCATAAAAATACTGACTGAGTGAGCCTCTTTCTCAATTTTCCATTTCAGAAACCTCTACAGTCAAGGCCTGCTCTTTCCCACTTTTTCTTTACAGCAGCTGCAACCTTCAAGCCCAGCTCAAAGGGCTACACACAACATTTACTGCAGAAGATGAGGTCTGACCTGGCAGCTTGAGTTAGATTTCTTGTTCCTCCTATGAGAACTGATGGAGAAATCTCTCTTTGAGACACCTACCAAAGGAAAACTATACACAGCCCTTGATCCACTCCTGAGCAGATTCACACATAGATTTCTTGTTCCTCCTGTGGGAACCAGCAGAAAAATCTCTCTCTACAAAACAACTACTCAAGAAGTTTGTAAACTGGGAAACCTCACTTTTTCCCTCAAAATACTACTATTTTGCCCTCTCTTTCAGCCAGAAATAAAAGCTGTTGAACAGTTATTTTGAGCCTTTGATATTATTATTATTATAAATTAATAAAAATAAAATATAAAATAATGAAAATTATAAATAAATTTCTCTTTCATCTAATAACTTTATCTATTGCATGGTTCACACTCCTCCCTGATCTTTTGATCCATTGTTTCCTGTTTAGAGTTAGGGTTCCAGTTCCTTCTAAAGTTTTCTCATTTTCTTTCACTCCCAGTAGCACCCTCGCATCTTAATGGCATTATCTCCTTGCTTGATGTGACAAATAAAAAATTCCTCCTTCTGCCTTCATTTTCTTTCATTTTTTCTTCCTCAATGACCTGTTAGCTGGAAAGAAGGTAAGCTTACATGAATCGTGTTTTGTTTCTTCTTCTTACTACTTCCTTTACATTGCATATTCACAATGTCTTTTCCTTTTTTGTTTTATAACCTGATGACTCTGGATTGCCTTTGCTTTGTCATATCTTTTACAATTTACAATGACTTTTCTGCTGTCATCCTTGGTCAGTCTTTTTTTTTTTTTACTAATGAAACGTTCTTCAATCCAATCCTCTTTGACTTTCTTCATAACATGTCTTACCTTTTTGCTGATCTCTTTGTACATTATTAGTTTTGTTAGATGCCTAGCAAACACTTTTTCTTTTCTTTTATTTATCAAGCACGTCCATGATCTCTTCTGTGACTCAGGATTGAGATTTTCAGTGATGTTTTTAAAGATTTACATGAATGTTAGGGGAGGAAAATTAGTCTATAAGAATAACTTGACCCCCAAATAATTAGGAAATAGCTAATGCTAACCCAAGGTTACCAAGAGTTGCAAAAGTTCAATTTTGGGTCAAAACTGCTATTTCTGGCCAAAATGCAAAAGAGACACACCTTTTACATAACACAAAATAAAAGCCACCAAATTGTAAGAGTGTCTATAAACATTTATTTATAAATAATGTCACCAATGGTATTGTGGTGGCCAAATGGTTAGTAGCATGGAAAATGGAATCAGAAAGATCAGTTCAAACTCTGACTCAGCTAATCTACAGTCTTTTTTACTCATAGCCTTGGGAAAGGCATGTAAAGGAATTAATGATACAATTGGCAATGAAAGAATTCTTAATTAAAAAAAAGTTAACACACTTTACTAATTTGCATAATTATTGTATTTTGAAAAGAATTTTCACGCTGTAAGAGATTTCATTTTAGGTGTCATATTTCCATTTTAGCAAATTTAAAAAATTTAATAACACTATTTACATTGTTCAGACTGTTGTCCTTATCTTTATTAACACATACATGATGTTTTGGCCATTGTACACTCCAAAAGGGAAGCTTTTAAGCTAGTTAATAATAAAATAATAATATTCATTTTAAATTTTAATAAAATAAAATATGAATCTAAAGTAATTAATATAATAATAGATTCAACATTGTAAAAAGGGGTGATCTTTGATTATCATTGACATCGATGGAGAAGAATAAAAACAAAAATTGCAGAGCAACATCAATCACAGGGATCAACATTGAATAAATCAGCAACTAAAAAGGTTTCTTGATTGAAATTAGTTTTAATAAAATAAAATATGATGGAGAAGAATAAAAACAAAAATTGCAGAGCAACATCAATCACAGGGATCAACATTGAATAAATCAGCAACTAAAAAGGTTTCTTGATTGAAATTAGTTTTAATAAAATAAAATTTGATGGAGAAGAATAAAAACAAAAATTGCAGAGCAACATCAATCACAGGGATCAACATTGAATAAATCAGCACTAAAAAAGGTTTCTTGATTGAAATTAGTTTTAATAAAATAAAATATGATGGAGAAGAATAAAAACAAAATTGCAGAGCAACACCAATCACAGGGATCAACATTGAATAAATCAGCAACTAAAAAGGTTTCTTGATTGAAATTAGTTTTAATAAAATAAAATATGATGGAGAAGAATAAAAACAAAAATTGCAGAGCAACATCAATCACAGGGATCAACATTGAATAAATCAGCAAGCAAAAAGGTTTCTTGATTGAAATTAGTTTTAATAAAATAAAATATGATGGAGAAGAATAAAAACAAATATTGCAGAGCAACATCAATCACAGGGATCAACATTGAATAAATCAGCAACTAAAAAGGTTTCTTGATTGAAATTAGTTTTAATAAAATAAAATATGATGGAGAAGAATAAAAACAAAAATTGCAGAGCAACACCAATCACAGGGATCAACATTGAATAAATCAGCAACTAAAAAGGTTTCTTGATTGAAATTAGTTTTAATAAAATAAAATATGATGGAGAAGAATAAAAACAAAATTGCAGAGCAACATCAATCACAGGGATCAACATTGAATAAATCAGCAACTAAAAAGGTTTCTTGATTGAAATTAGTTTTAATAAAATAAAATTTGATGGAGAAGAATAAAAACAAAAATTGCAGAGCAACATCAATCACAGGGATCAACATTGAATAAATCAGCAACTAAAAAGGTTTCTTGATTGAAATTAGTTTTAATAAAATAAAATATGATGGAAGAATAAAAAACAAAAATTGCAGAGCAACACCAATCACAGGGATCAACATTGAATAAATCAGCAACTAAAAAGGTTTCTTGATTGAAATTAGTTTTAATAAAATAAAATATGATGGGAAGAATAAAAACAAAATTGCAGAGCAACATCAATCACAGGGATCAAC